GGACATCTGCTCCACCATGGACCTCCATGGGCTGCAGGGGGACAAGCCTGCCTCACCATGGTCTTCACCACAGGCTGCAGGGGAATCTCTTCTCTGGCGCCTGGAGCACCTCCTCCTCCTTCTTCTTCACTGACCTTGGTGTCTACAAGGGTTGTTTCTCTCACATATTCTTACTCTCTCTCACTGCAAAATGCGCAGTGTTTTTTTTTCCTCTTCTTAATTACATTATCACAGAGGCATTAACATCATTACTGATTGGCTCAGCAGCCTTGGCCACCAGTGGGTCCATTTTGGAGCTGGCTGGCATTGGTGCTGTTGGACACAGGGGAAGTTTCTGGCAGCTTCTCGCAGAAGTCACCCCTATGCCCCCCACGCTACCAACACCCAGTCACACAAACCAAATACATCCAGGAACAACGTGGTTGTCTCTTTTCATTTATTTTCTCTTTCTTCTTGTCTTTCACCATTCTCTTCCAATCCTTCAGTCACTTATTTTCTGCTTTTGACTAGTGCTTCTTAACTACTTGAGAGTCCAGCGCAGAGCCACCAAGGTGATTAAGGGAGTGGAGCATCTCCCTTCTGAGGAAAGGCTGAGGGAGCTGGGTCTCTTTAGCTCAGAGAAGAGGAGGCTGAGGGGAGACCTCATTAATGTTTATAAATATATTAAGGGCGAATGTCACGAGAATGGAGCCAGGCTCTTCTCAGTGATGCCCAATGATAGGACAAGGGGTAATGGGTGTAAGCTGGAACACAGGAGGTTCCACTTAAATTTCAGAAGGAACTTCTTTACAGTGAGGGTGACGGAGCACTGGAACAGGCTGTCCAGGGAGGCTGTGGAGTCTCCTTCTCTGGAGACATTCAAAACCCACCTGGACGCCTTTCTATGTGATCTCATTTAGGTTACTGCTCCAGCAGGGGGACTGGACTAGATGATCTTCTGAGGTCCCTTCCAATCCCTGACATTCTGTGATTCTGTGATTCCTTCCCCTTAATTTGCAACAGGAAATCTATATGCCACTCAGAATGCGGCCACAGGCAGCTGAAGGAAGCAGTGTAAACTGCGTTATCAAGTTAAATCCTCTCCTCTTAAACACACATAGGATAATCTGGTGCTTTTCCCCTTTCTTCTTAGGTTAAAAGATGCTCTTCTAAAAAAACCCTGTCACTATGGTGCACCACAAATAGATGAGAAGTATTCTGAACAGTAGCTTACTCTGACTTTCAAATCCTCTTGTTTTAATCTTTCCGTAACATCAATCGCTGTATGCCAGCATGCTGCAATTTGCAAAACTCACAAACTCCTGAAAAAAATTGTCTAATGATACCAGGCAATATGATGATATAACCCTTTACATTCACCATCATTATGACATTTTTGATCTGCAATAGCTAACAAGGAAATTCCAAAAGTATAACAACTAAACCCAACATAACTATGAATGTTTACAACAGCATTTTACTCTGAGGTGTTACCTACAAGGTAACCCTACTATTTTAAGGGCAGACCATGAACTATGATACAGTTATTTGTGTAAGGAATTTATTTCCAGGACTCTTCCTTCACATAAATAACATCAAGGTAGATTTGGCATACGCCTTGTTATCATCACATTGCCATTTCTTACCTGAAGTTTGCAGATACCTCCACAGTGATGTGGACTTTCAGACAGCAAAATATAGACCCTGAGTCCAATTTATAAAGAACATCTCCAACTGAGGTAAGTAGATAATCAAAGCAAATTCTTATAAACTGTCAGAACTTACACATTCCAAATGAAAATACAGTTTTATCAATGAAACAATGCAGGCACGGTGTCAGTGACTCTTCCCCTTTACTATTTACCACTGAAAGAATACTCCCTGGAGCATCTTTATAGACACAAAGGTCTAAATAATTTATGCCTCAGTAAAAACCAAAACACCTCAAAGACCGATCTGGGATTTGTCCTCCTAAAGAAAGCCTAAATTGGGAAATAAGTTTTCTAACTAGTGCAGTGAATTTTTATGAAACGCAGATATAACTCCACTAGGGAAAAGGGAGACAGACTTTCAAGTCATAGGCTTTTGCAAGTTTTAGTTACAGTAGATTTCCTTCTTAAAGGAAAGTAAACACCTATCACATACCTACTATCTAATAAAGTGACTTCTAAAGACGATCTTACTTGGCTCTGTTTTCATCAGAATAATTTAAAACCACGTATTTTTAACCATTCAATTAAGGACTCATCGGTAAATTGACCTTATGTATTTGCTCGAGAATTGACAGTTTCAGGAAAGGAAAATGAAGGCTGGATGAATGAGCGTAATGCCCGAGAGTTCATGACAAGATGTGAAAGAAGGCAAGGAAGGAGAGGGTGCTTGACAACATTTAAATCATCATCCTGCATCTTTTGGATAAAGTTGCAGAAATATCTCTCTGCTTCAAATTAGGATTCTAGACCTGCTCTTTCAGCCACAGTGACTTGGAGGACAGCTGCTGATCTACATGTATCTCTGCCCTTGACATCTAGGCAGACTGCCACAGAATCAAGACACTGCCTTTTTTTAAAATTAGCTTGTTAATGTCTAAGCAAAACTTACATGGCCTTCCATGCCTTCCTGAGGACTCCAATCTTTCCAGCTGTTTCTTCCAGCTTTTAGCCGTATCACCTCATCTGGCCACTGCAGCTCTTTCCTTTTTGACACGTTGATCCCTTCCAGTACTTGACTAGGATCCATCAACTACAAGTAGGAATTGAGTTTTGACTGTTAGTTCAGCCAAATTTAAGAGAAACATTAAATGCAACCTTTTGCATACTTCCAGAGAACTGACTTAAACCCACAGAAATCAATTCCTGACCAATTTCAGAGCTGGAAACTCAAGCTCCAGGCTAGGAAAAAGTGGTGGTTTCGGACACAGCTGAAAATATACTAGTTCACTGCTGTCTGAAGCAGCAGCTCTGGTTCCCTTTCCCACCCCTTCTTTCAGTTGTTATACTGGCTCATGGCAGGGTCTGAGGAGCTGGTACAACATAAGAATCAGCAGTACATGGCCCAGTGGCAAGGAAGAATTAAGTGGTGATGAGCTGTTAAAACTGGCTCATCACTTCTTACAGAATATGTTAAGAAACATGGTCTTGGATAATTTACTGTTAAAGCTAAAGAACTACTTATCTGCTAGCATGGTTAGTTGAGACCCACCCCGTGTTTTGAAGTAAATTGGCCTTTCCACAGAGGTAGCAGGAGAAAACTCCTGAAAACTTCTTCCTATTTAAGGACAGAGAGAACCATATAATGTCCACTGTTGAAGGGCACACGTCAACTTTGCCTGTATCCTCCTCACATAGAGGAATTAACCAGTTTCATAAAAAGGCCCTTGCCCACAAACAAAAGCTACTAAGAAGAGACTGGAAAAAATATTTAACTTTGCCCACCCTGATGAAGTTTACTAAGGATTACTCTAAAATATCAGCAACAAAATCACATTTGTTATGATCTACCCTATTAAAGACAATCCCCGATGTTTTCCACTAATATACTGCCAAAGACATGTATGTGGGGCTAATACAAGCTAGAAGAGCAAGAATACAAATTCCTGGATTTTCACAAAACAAGTAACACTGCCATGATTAACTTAGTCAACTGTGTATTGTTTGCTGCTCAGTAAACCCAGACTCATAGCAATAACAAAGAATAAATACATATGAAAGTGAATATTTTTACACTTACTTTTGTGGAAAATCCACTTAGTTTAAAAGAAAAAAGCTAGGTGCTTTCTGCCCTGCAAATGAAACTGTTTAGCTTTACACGTTGCAATGAAGAAAGGCAAACTACATATGAAGTGGAAATTAGTTCAGATGACATTCTCAAAGTTGCACTACAGCAAAACATACAAGTAATATTAAACAGGGATGTCTGAGCATGCCGGAAGGCTGGTTGTCCAGAAAACCTTTTCCTCACATAGTTCTCAAAATGTAACTGCACAACAGTTGTATACTGAGACATTCCAGACTGTGTGTGTGTTTAAAAGTAGCAATTTCGACAACATACAGAGCAACATTAACAGAAGCACATGGAAGCATAGGTTAACTCGTTCTTCTGGACTATTCACCTGGATTCTGTAAATAACGTCATCCTTTTTGGCTTGCATTTGACTTGCAGGGCTTGCATTACCACCTGACTGAATTTCAGTTGCATTACTCCCTCCTTCTGTCCCTAGAAAGCCCACAAAGGCATGCTGTTTACAGGCTGGGATGCTTTGGCTGGAGCTGCTAGAAGAAGGCAGTCCATGCTGCATGCTGACCCCAGTCTGGCCAGTAGGTTCCATTTGGTTCACCATAGACAGGCGGGACTGGATGGATGATGGGAGGTTACGAAGGGATATCTGACTGGTGGAAGAGCGCCGACAAGGCACAAAGCCTGTTGTGGATGTGCGAAGAGATGAATGACGACTGCCGTAGCAATAAGATGAATGGCTAGCTACTGAGGCACGGGCAGGGGAATGTCTGACAAGGCTTGACTGCACAGAGTGAGAGCTGTTACTGGTGCCTAAAAGTAAAAGATACAGTGTCAGGAGAGTTTGATAAAGCCTCTCACACACATTAGACTTCCAACACACAAATACTTTGGCACTTAGATACAAAATTGACGGGTCTAATCAACAACTTCCAAAACAGCTGTATTGCAGGAGATCTGTTGCATCTCATATAGAAGAGCATTTGAACACATTCCATTCATCTTATCTTGGAATTTCATATTCTGTTCAACTCAATCTTGAAAAATGCCCCAGCCTTGCTCCTCCTGCATTAACAAACTGTTTCTTAGTACTAACACTTAAGTTTCCCATACTTAAGGCATTAAGGCAGGTAGAGATGTCCATGTTTCAAAATACTAAACATACTTTCTTAAATATGCTTGACTGGATGTTCAAAGATTGAGTCAGAAAATTTGTTAGAGCAAAAGCTGTTTTTAAACTAGAAAAATTTAATGCACTTGAAGTGAAAAACTTCAAGAACTGCAGTTTATGAGCATTGCTTTTCCTATATGAAGTCCTTGTAGACACCTTTCTGCAGCTGATAGACGTACTTAAGTTGTGTAATAATTTTTTTTTTTTTTTTTTTTTTTTTTTTTTTTTTTTTTTAATGAGATTTATTTAACCACCCACGGCTTTTTTTTTTTTTTTTTTTTTTTAATGAGAGTTCATTCAACCACGTACGCTTCTATATTCTTTGTGAGTAAAGGCAGTGTTTGGAAAGCTTTTTCTCACCTTTACTGTTTGTCACCTCCCTAACTATGGTTCACTATGGACTCTTGGATACAATTCAGCTAAAATACTACAGAAATAGATAATCCATTCCTGTATAAATAAGAAATATAAAGACATTAACAAAATATGACAAGTTTAGCATTTGCAAACAATAAGACGGAAAAGACCCAATCCATAGAGAGATTTTGTAAGAAGTTATTTAATCTTCAATTTTGCCAGCACAACTATACTCATATTGCTCAAAGCTCCGTTTTGCTGCTTTTTTTTATTTTAACTTTACCCAGTGTGGAGGGATGAGTTGGTGGATGAGCTGCAGGAAGAGTTGTGGGATGAGCTGCAACAGGAGGATGCTGTACTGGTCCAGGTCCCTGCCCTGTAGTTGCATTCCCTCCACCTTGCGACATGCTGCTTTGTGACTCATTGATAGTTGCATTGTTACTTGTGCAAGAAGCTCCACCTCCAGCATCTGAATCTTCAATATTTCCACCGCTATTGCAGCCAGCTCCACAACCTTTCCTTAGTCTGAAAAGAATGCAATTGACACATGAAGTTAGGCCTCCTAATCATCAGGATTCTAAGAAATACCTTACAATGACAAGCAAAAAGCTTTAATCAGCACAATCCACAGCACTCTCCAAAATCAGATAAAATTTGACTTTATTTTCTCAGAATATACTTTGCAAGTATAAATACTGCTTTCTAAGAAATTGCAATTTTCTTCATGACAGCTATTCAAGTAACAGTTATTTATGATAAGGCAAATGCTCATATAAAATAGCTTTTGAAAAATCAAGCCACTTCTGAAGTATAATAAAACATTGAAATTCTAAATATAAAATGCTGGTAGAACATCCTGGTTTTTTGTAACAGTTTAGTAAAATTTATGCTTACACATAAAATTTATAACACACCAGTTATATGTGTATTAATATACTGCAAAATCTTTGTCTACCCTGATGAGCAGGGAATGAATGTTTGTTGTTTTATTTTTTTCTATTTTAATGTATTTGGTTTCTCGTTACTTCAGTAATGTACTCACAGCTGTTTGAAGCACATATTGCAATTATTTGAATCACATTCTTGTGGGAATTTTGAACAAGCAGACAGTAGGCTAGCTAACATTTTCCAGTGTACATACAGGTTTTTCACCACATTGTTTGCATCAATAAACTTCAGATGGACGTAAACCACAGCACATTCCTCCTGCCTTTGATTCCTACTCTTATTATTCATTTCTTTCTGTCACACTCAAGTATACTGAACACTCCTTTCCAATTTTATTTGCCCTTGGGATCCAAAGGCCCAAAGCATGGATCCAAATACTGTTGTGTGTCATACTTTCAACCACCATTCTATCCGTATGTTGGACAAACGGATGGTGACAGAAGACAAACACCACGGACTGTAGTACACGTAGCATATTCTGGGGTGAAGCAGCACATTCTGTTTTGATGTGCTGTAGATGTCCAACTGTAAACACAACCATTGGAACAGCTACAGGACTGTTCCAAATATGGCACCGGCTCCTGGAACTGCTAAGAACTGAGACACACATTTCTGAATGCCACACAGAGCTGCCTCTGTTGCTTTTGGAGTCACAGTCATAAGGGGCCAGAAGTGCAGTAAAAGTTCTCATGGCAGATAAAACACAGCACAGCAAAAGTTTGTACAGGGTTAGCAAGGGGTCATGTGGAGAGAGGATTATATTATCACTCCAGTTACTTGTTCTGGCTCTGACATACCATATATGACATACCATAAGCACTCATGAAATTCTGAGCAACAGACTGAGTTGCTATGTATGAGCATACCCTAATAATATTAATAGTAGCACTTGCATGCGAAATGTTTGTTGGACAGGTACCCTACCAAATAGTCCTGATTTCTGTAGGATGGTATCATAAAATGCAAAAGTGATGGTACTGAAAAAAATAATACAGAAGTTGCATTGTCTCTTATTATCAGACCTGACATCAGAACTGAAGTTGTAGTTCTTGCATCTAGACTTTGTCCTGTTTTTTCTGAGCTGTCATTTACATAGTTTGTAGCTTACTACTTAAATGCCTTGAAGATTAGTCTCGTACCAAAGCAGCTGCCATATGGTACAGATGTGCCCAAAATAAAAGCCAAGGCTTATTTGTGTGGCTGAATATTATAAATTATGCCGTGTTGGGCTTGTATGGGACTAGTTAAAGGAATATGAGAGCATGAACACATACTAATGAGAACTCATTTCCTCAGCTCACCTGTGCCATGTAGACACTATGAAGTTTCTGATGTTTCCTAAGCTGATAGCTCCCCCAAGAATCTCCTTAAGTTGTTCATGACTATCTGAATAGGAAGTAGTCAGAGGTGAGACATAGATTGGGTATCCAATTGGCTGGTCACAAGAGGAGTTGATCATGTTCCTCAGAGCTTGTTTTGCATTTTGGATACTTCCTCTTTCTGGATTACGATTACGCAGGAAGACAAGCTCCTGTTGTTGTCCTGCCCATAGGCCACGCACACATTCCTTATTCACCTGCAAAAGATGACAGACAGAAGCCAAGTAGAAAGGCTGTGTCAGAGACTGAAATAATGAGAATGTGTGAAGACTGCTTTATTATACCTAGGCCTACACAAGTGCATGTAATACTGCACTGCAGAACTGAAAGCTTTCATATTCACTTCTTTAAAGGGCTGAACTTACGGACACAGGCTGCAACAGTGACACTAAAACAAATCTAAGAATGGGATGAGAAACAAGATATTTTGTCAGTAACTGATTTTCTGATTAAATACTTCCACTATATGAGAAGCAGCCCTAGCAATGACAGATCAGTAACAAAAAAGTAATGATTTGAGTTGAAGTAGCAGTTTGGTATAGTTATTAAAATATATCACAACATACTGTCACATTGTGGAATGTGCACAAAGCTTACCTTAATGACTCTGAAACTGAGATAGCGCTTATTCAGCATAATGATTTTATATTCATTGGTGCCATCATCCATCACGTGGCGCAGAGCAAGGAGGGACGGAGAATTGGAAAGAACTGCACTCCGCCAAGCGGGGTCCCCTTCATGTGCTATAACTAGATTTTCTTCATGGGTTGTTATGGCTTCATAAAGGACAGAAGGATCATCATATTCATCTGGAGAAGTGAAGTGATCCTGTTTCCAAGAACACATGTTCAGTAAGGTATGATTAACACTTCAGAAATATCAACTTAGGACCAGAGGAAAAGGCAGGAAGATGTGCCAGGGGAGGTTTAGGTTGGACGTTAGGAAAAGTTTCTTAACCCAGAGGGTGGGGGAGCACTGGAACAGGCTCCCCATGGAGGTAGTCGTGGCACCAAGCCTGGCAATATTCCAGAAGCATTTGGACGATGCCCTCAGACACATGGTCTGAATCTTGGGATTGTCCTATGCTAGGAGAAGAGTTGGACTTGATAATTCCAGTGGGCCCCGTCCAACTCACAACACTATGACCTATAAAAATCAAACATTTCACACCTCAAACTCTTGAAATGCTCAGTGCATTGCACAAAGTAAGACATCAAAAATATCAGACACCTACTACAGAACACTGTTAAAGATGACCTCTTTTCCAACAGATTAGTTCTGTTTCCTTACTTTTTCAACTTGAAAACAAAATGATTGGAAGAACATGCCTGTTATTGATTCAAGCGAATTTCTAGTTGAACTTTACACTAGATTTATATTTATTTACACTGCCAGCAGAAGCATTTTAGTTTTAGCTTTTTTGCATAGTCGCAAGTCTCCAAATGTAAAACATATTTGAGTAAAGCACTGATTATTGACTGAGCCTGTATTATATGAAAATAGCAAAAGGAAGAAAAACAATATGGTTTATCTGTATTTTCTAATAAAAAGTTCACATTAATACTTGATGACAAACTATTTCAGGATCAGATATTATCACACAACTTACAATACTGCCAGCCAAATAAAACCACGACATTTGCAAGTTCAATTCAGGTCACATTACTTTCTAGTTAAAAAAGACAGTGGTTAATAGCCAAATTCCCAACACTGTCTGAAGTCTCAATATGCTATTGCACTACAAATGAATAAAATCACCCTGTATAGATTAATACAACAATATTCAGAATAAACTTCTATTGTTAGAGATATTTGTATTTTTCTCACTCTGTCTTAATTCAAGTCTATTCTGCACAGTAACCCAAACACACTGAGAACACTTCAGAATTGTTGAAGTAGTACTTCTGCTGGTTTCAACAATGATTTTGTAATTACTTCTACTCTGCTACATTTACTACTCATACTTAAAAGCATTCTACTACATTCAGGGAGTTTGTGTTACATGAAGGAGTTGATTCAATCACTGTGAGCTTTGGGGAACTTTTAGACTCTGCAATGAAGGTAAAACCTGCAACTTTATTTATTATTAAGAGTGCAACTAAGATTTGCCTACTTACTATGATTTTCAAGCAATCTGTTCTTCTACAGTACCAATGCTTTTCTGCCCTCACAGAGTACTTATCACTCAGTACATGCTTTCTTATACTTGCTGAGCTTAGTTAACAGACACACTGGACAGAATTTGAGATTGTTCATTTTCACCTCACTTCACTATAAAGACTAGCCCCAATTTCAGCTTATTGAAAAGCAACCTTCTCATTCTCACCTGAAACCTTACTGATGGGATCAATGGGTATGCCTGTGTCTGTTACCACAATGCTTCAAAGAAAAAAGAACAAGAAAAACAATTCCCATTGGACTGCTGGAGAGGGCTGTACAGCGTTGAACAGCATGATAAACTTTTAAGCCAATTGCATGTATGTGGGGAGGGAAAAAATATCAGAGAGCCTGTTCATAAGGGAATTATCTCTAGAGGATATGAAACAGTGCTCGACATGTTCTCTGATCTACATTTGATGTAATTTCCAAGCTCTGAGCATACACTACATTCAGTTTTCCTCTATATCACCTTCTGATGATAAAACAAAGGACAAGACATAATTCCTCATTTTCAGTTGTTCATCTCTACCACATGCCCTATTCTCTTCCTCTTTTTTCCTCTCTCCCAGCTGCTTAATTTTAAAAGAATGAACACATCGAAATAAAAAGAATTGAAGACATCTTCCTGTGTAATCTCTCACCTGATGCAGCTTAAGTGACATCCGTATTCCAGGAACCACTACTTTCCTCAGCAATTCCATGTCAGCAAAGATCCATTCATCTCTAATTGAAGATATACGGAAGTCACCCTTAAATAGGGCATGCAGGCCATACAAGAAGGATTCCAGATTACTGTTGAGGGGAAAACAACGAAGAGAACAGCACAAATATTAACAGAAATGCAAACATATCCACAATTATCATCACCGACGAGAGTATAAAATACTGAGCTGTATAGAAAGGCACACAATTCTTCTTTATAAAGATAAGTTACAGGATACATCAGGGAGATGTATGAGTAAGGATGTGTGTGTAACCAAAGCTTGGACATTAAATGTCTATGTGCACTGAACAGGTAATGAATAAACCATACATGCAACAGACTATTTACATGGACTAGGAAGTAAACAGGAACACTGTGAAGGATGTCTGACTTTATTCTGAAGATTTTTTTAAAGAGAAAATTTTTCAGGGAATATAACACAAGGGACCAGTTAAGGAGGATATGTAGGCTTCAGCTGTACATGGTTTAGTATAGAATAGAAGTCTTGACAACTTCTTCATGCTTAAAGGCATCACTTCCTTTTACAAAGCTAACTTAAGAGTAAAAAAAAAAAATCAAATATGCTCTGATCACTCTTGCAACTGTGTATCTGCAAGACCTTCAGGAGGCAACTGGCTGGCACTTAGAAGAATTAGTCAGCAGTTTCTGTGAAAGTGAAGTAAAACAGGTTTTACGTCAGCACCCAGCTGACAAACAGCTTCTTCATCTGATTATGTCTCTTTTTATTTTCTTTTTAAACCATCACCTTGTGATTTCCTGAAACATACAACTGTATTTTACATTGGCTTTCTAAAGTAAGTTGAGGCTGTCAATCTGCAAGAAAGAGGTTGCCATATGAGCTGAAGGAGATTTGTATAAAACACAACTGCTTGCCACAGAGCCAGATAAACTGTGAAACTTACCACAATGGTCTGATCTGATTTCCATCAAGACATGTGTGTTCGTCATTTTAAGTTCTTATTTTCTTAATTTTGTTCTTACCCATATTTCCTTATAGGGTACATAATTGGAGCAGGAAGTGGAGCTTACTTTTAGAACTCAATCACTTCTTGGTTGTTTGGGTTTTTTTTTTGTTTGGTTGTTTTTTTAATCCCATGAGTGCTTACCCCCACCAGAATTCTCACGTTGCATTAATTTGGTAAAACTAAATGCTCAAATTCAAGTTCTCCCTCATTTGCCAATCTCTGGTTAGGTTTCACTGGCTGTTATAACGAAGACAGGTTACATAGCCTATCTGTCCAATTTAATGAAAGATGACATTAAATGTCTGTTCCTTTTATGAATAGGTACTCATCTAATACCTAACCAGGAACCCTGAGGGATTCTGAAGAAAGGAAGCTTACAACAGAAGTGTTTTATTACCTAGACATATGATGTGAAGCTGTTCCCAAGGCTCTCCGACCTAGAACACACAGTCCATAACACAATGTCACCAGGGGCGAGTCTTTACTTGAATCCAGTGGCTTGTAATAACAAAACAAAACAAAAAAGAACAGTCGGGTGAATGGAGTAAAGAAACAGTAAAGGAAGAATGTTCTACCAGAAGGAATAAAAAGACCCAAACACATACAAAGGTATACAAACTCAAGTTTGCATATGTACCTACCACATCAGTTACTTTTGCTCAGACTTTCAATAGGAATTCTTTTTTTAAATGTTTTGCAAGTATGTAGAGTACTTGTAAAGGCAGACACACATGTATTATATTTGAAATAAGGCAAATTGTAAGCTGAACAGATGTATTCCTCATGGATACTGTGTATCTTGCATGCAAACTGCCGATTAGCAAAATTATGGGGTTAGAACAAAAATATTTTTAGTGATTAAAGTAGATTCTCACTTACTGGTTAGGATTATGATTCTGAGTGAACTGAAAACCTCCCTGGATTATTGCTTTATTCAGGGAAAACTTGCCCTTAGCTCAAAGCCAGTGGTAGCTGTATAGGACATATAATGCCCTAGACAATAGTGTCATTAATTTGAGTGATTAAACCTGATTTTCCATACCTACACAAAATATTTCACAAGATTTTGACTTGGAAAGAAAGAATTTTCTGTTTGTCGTTTGACTGCAGAATGCTTTAAATCTTACACTTGTTAAAATGGGCTTCTAATTAATCTTTTATCTCCAAACTAAAGTTGAACTCTGAAGTAATTGATCCCTCATTAAACACAAATTCCAATTATATTCCTCTCCCTTTAACCTCAATCAATTTCTGCTTATTCTCAAAGGCAACACTACTTTGACTAGACCACATACAGTTTTTTTTGTAAATAGTAAGAAGTCTAGGCATTACTCTACAAACATATTGTTTCTAATTAAAAGGTGGAAGGATCTGTAGAGAGGAAAAGGACTGAATATGGGATGATCATTCCCACAAACCAACAATTTCAGTGGTCCAAAGGAATGATATAGTATGATCATTAAGAAAGAAGCAGTCAGTCTGATAAGGTGGCAACAGGCATTTGGTTTCTGGGGGTTTTTGTTTCAGGGTTTTTTGTTTAAATTAGGATTGGTTTGTAAACACTGACATCTGAGCACAAAACATCAATTCTATAAATACAAGCTTTTGTATGTAGATAAATGCCTGAGTAAGATTCAGCTGATTAATCTGAGCTGGTAAATTAAAATTCATTAGTTAACAGGTTAAATCACACACTACTTATAGAATATAGCTAAATTCACATCTAAAGAGCAGAAGATCAAAACCAGTAAACTACAAACTAATATTTCAATTATTAATCCATATTTTAAAAATCAGTATTAAACCAGCCTATAAGTCAAACCAACAGGGAAAAAAAAACGAGACCACCCTAGAACACTGAATGACTTTCCTCACGTGTTCATACTTACCTTTTCTCTTCGAGAGCAGCAATATTCTATCCAGTTCAAATATATCATACAGAAACTCTCTCTCGAGATCCCTGCTAGACGGTGGTCATAATCCTCATCAATATTGGGGTTAAACGTTGGGTCTACATCAACATAATTGCGGTCTGTGCACAACCGCAGTCCTTCCTGCATTGTCTCATTAGCTAACCACTCCTCTAGCTTGGGGGATGTTGTGACATAATAGATGATTCCCTGCAACAGTAGCAGTTGAAAATAGCAGTCAGTATTGCAATTAAAAAAAAATTAAACAAATAAATAAATAAATAAAATATATATCAATCTCAATTGTTCCAACTGATTTGCATTATTTTGTTGGTAATGAACAACACTGATATATAGTACCATTTACTTAGCTCACAGATGCATCAAATCTGCACAGGAAACATAATATAGGTTTGTATACAAAAACATAATTCAGAGTCAAGATTTCTGAACCACACACTGAAGGAATGGGAAAAGAAAAAAGGATGGGACAGGATTCTCACTGTAATTTTGCAAGGACAAATACAAACAAAAGACCTAGGAATTTTTATCTAGTTAATATGGTCGCTTAGATATTGAATTTCTAAAGAATTCAAATGCTAAATAAAGGACAAGATAGTTTAACATCCTTGTGTATGGGGGAGGGGAACAAAAAAAAAAAACCCACCAAACAACAAATTGTGGTTTTGTGTGTGTGTATGTATAAATAAATAAATATCTTGGAAGTATTTCAACCTGAAATTTTCATCTCTCTGAAAGAGAGTAGCTTATGAAAGATCTTAATTAGTAAACTGATTATCTGAAGGGGTCTGAAGCCTAGAATCCTTGTAAGAGGATTCTTACTCCTCTTACAAAAGACAGGTTTGGAGTTTGGACAGGTTTTAAACACTGAAGCAGCTTGGCTTTCTCCAAGAGAAAAAACACTATTTAACTTCTCATTTACAACATAACTATTACATATGTTTATGTACATATTACAACATACTATTACATTACTAAACAGCTTTCAAGTTTCTACTTCAGCTTCAGCTAAAAAGTGTCCTCTCTCTGTTCTAGACTACAGGGTCATTGTCCTGCTCATGCACCAGAGTATCAAGTAATCATCAGCACAGCAGACTCTGTCCTCCCTTGATGAAGGTGTTCATATATCTATAATTTTTAACACATTCTATGAAAGACATTAAGCAGTTCCCAGCTGTAATCTAGCCTACCTCCCCCCAAGGCTTTACTGATCTCAACCATACCTTCACGTAGTAAGTGGTGAGAATTTTCCGGAGATCAAAGACTTGAAGCATGGAAGCTGCACTGTTGTCAGTGATGCTATAACCCTCCAGAACATACTTTGTCACAAGCACTTCCCAAGCCAGCCAACGCTGCCCAAAGGCAGCATTAAAGGAAAGCATGTGAGGAAGGTGGCCTGGTTCACAGCAACAAAAACCTTCATCTTCCTCTACACCTTCAGTGATGGCCTCTACCTCTCGTTGCTGGCAATAAGTTCCTTAGGAGAAAACAGAAAAAAGAAGAAAGAGTTTAACACTTTGCATGATTGCTTTAATGTTGACTTGTGTTTAGAATCCAATCAATCAATCTCAAATTACATTTCTGTAACACCAATTGAACTATCTGACAATGAACACAAGAGATTTGGATAGCTATTATCACTCTACGATCACATTTTAGTTAGGTGTCTCTAAGACTCATTTATGGTAGCCATGTTGCACTAAAATGGAAAGAGACTTCACATCAACTCTGCTAGAGCAATCTAGTTTTCCTCATGAGTGATGTGGCTATAAAGAGGCCCTGCAGCCCAGTTTCAAAGCAATTAATTTACAGGACGGAACAGAAAATAATTAGGTTTCCAAAGCAGAAGTCTACTTTCCAGTACAGACAGTTAAGGAATTGTAACACTCACCTCTGAATTCAAGCCCCCTCAGCTGGAAGGTGACCAAGCCATTTCCTATCTCTATAAGGTGTACTAGTGCATTGAGGTAGTCAGAGGCTAGGATGAAGCAGTCCCCAGTACTATAGTTTCCCCACCGACCCAACAACAAATCTCCACATAGGCTGTGCTGAAGGGAACGGGTTAAATGTTCATAGAAGATTGAATTCAGGTTGTTATCATCTGAACCTGCAGGAAGATTGGATTTGGGTTATTCTCTGAATCTGTAGAAAAAACATCAAGCTTGAATGTCAATCATCACTTCACAATTAATCCTACACTTTACTTAATAGCAACATGGTTTCAAAGTCAAAGTCATTCTCCACACCCCATCCCACCCTTTTTAAGGGACAACTACTCCGAATGAATGTTACGTGACATTTAGTATTTTTGACCAAATTTTTTTCCATTCTTAGTCACCCCTCCATTTTCCAAATTATTCCTTCAGTTCCACTCATCCATCTCCTATCGAGGTATTCCACATAATAAAGCAGAAAAGCAAATGAGCACAGAAGCATCTCAGTAACAACTGCTGTACTGGTCTTATCACCATGACATTGAGACACCCTCAAATGTTGTTTGGCTTTTTTCAATTACTTAAGAAGAAAAAAAGTAAAATAGCTTAATGCATACTACGATTATAAATAAAGTAGTAAAGCAAACACACATAAAGGTAAGGGGCAGGGGAGTCTAAAGAATAAAGCAAAAGAGATATGAGGGAGAAGAAAATAACAGTAGACAGAACACGGAAAGGTTGGGTAGAGTTGGAGAAGATCAGAGGCCAAACTAATCATGAAGCCTATAAAAGCCATTTACATTTGAAAAAACATCACCATTAAAAAAAAAAAAAACAAAAAACAACACAACCAAACCCAAAAAACGAACCCCACGAAAAAACCTCCACAAACCTCCAACGCCCACTCTACTCCCTACACAAAAACCCACCAAAAATGCAACCCCACACTAAAATCAGATAGGAGAGCTACCTGGATTTCGATCAAGCTGCGAAGCCAGTCTTGTATTTGAATGATCCACACGCTTTGTGCTGAGAAGAATAAAATAAAGCATACTTAACACAAAATTTATTACTGTAAGAAAATCTAAGGGAAGAAACTAATAACAGAATAAAAATTGTTAACAAATACTCCCACTGAAATAGTTTCAAAAAGTTATTTTAAAATAATTTTATATGCAAATTTGCTGCTCTTCTCATATGTAAGAGTATTTTCTGCCTATAACAGTATTATAATCCAACACCTAATAAAGGGTCCACAGTACATAGCCATAGAATACCATTAATACCAGAACTATCTGCTCATCTTGCCCTACACTGTTTAGCTAACATTTCACTGCTCTGATACTCCATCAACAATAGTGGACTTCAGAGAAATAAAACACAGGGAGGTATAATCTGACATAAAGAACCTTTCTTTTACTACTGATCCCACCTTGATCGAAAAAGATTTACTTTAAAGATTTTTATATTGAGGTTAGCAAGTTCTAGCTGTGAAATCAGCAATAATGAACAGAGGTCCAATACAGTTATGAACTGCCCCCCAAAACCTTTTTGTACATGAATTCACTTTCTGAGTAAAACTGTATTTTACAATACTATAATTTTTAAGTTTAAAAAAGTTAGCACAATGGCATATCTCTAAGTAGAAATTACTTAAACTACAAAGCAAATGTTGCTAGTATAAAACACAGCTGCTACAGTATTTCAGAAACAAGTTCACTGAAAACTCTCAGTGCTATAAACTCATTTTATCTGGGAAAAATAGCACAAAAAAACACCCAAACCAACACATTCAGCCATATTTACATTATTAAAAACAAATGATACAAACTTTAAAGGTCTTATTTCACCTACTTGTAGTCTCTTTCCCAAAATTTGACAGGCCTGGCATATGAAGTGATGAATATTGCACTTCCCAGAAAAGGATTGAGCGGAGTAGAGAAGAAAGCTGACACTGCTGCTTGGACAAACAACATCGCAGAATCTGTAGGATAACAGAATTAAGGAAAGCGAAGCAACAACTACTTTTTTCAAGCTTCTGTGACAGTACTTGATATAAGACAGCAACACCAATTGAGTAAAACCAGATCTCTAACAATTTTTATGCAGCAAAGTATCTTTACAGTATCTCCAGCAGCAAGGGAATTATTTTTGTTTTTAAAACCAGAAATAGGTAAAAATTAGGCATTAGACATGGTGGTCATTGTCTTTTTCAAAATTCTACAGAGAATACCAATTTGACACTCCATTCAAACCAGTCTACAGAAGCTTAACATGCAAAACTCAACAACTAAAAAACCATAGTTAGTGGCTCTTGAAAAAGGGAATGACAGTCAGAAGAAAAGTTGGGTCATTTTCAGAAAGAAATAACTCCTGCCCCATGTTTCTTTTATGTCAGAATTCTACTTCTACTCTATCTGCTACTGTATAATTTGTGGCATTGTAGCAAGGCAGAAAGTATGGACAGATTTTCATAAATACTCACTAGACGAACCTGTTCATTCAGTAGAGTTAGCCTATAACACATAATCCATTATAATACAACATTCAGAAGTTAAAAACACACAACTTCAGGAAAAAGTCTCAATTTTCAAAGGATACGTGGCACAGCAAATGGCTGGGCAAAAGCATGGAAGGCAGATCCCCATGTAATCTGCCAGGGAGCAATGTAGGTATATACAAATCTCAATTTATAAAAGAGTTCCCAAAGCTAAAGGGGGAAAAGAAAAAAAAAAAAAAAAAAGAGAGAAATAAAATTTAGTGATTTGGCTGAGAATCAACATGCTTTGCAGTAGAGAAATATCCTGAGGAATTTACTGGTCACCCTAGAGTTCTTACTAGTCTCCCAGAAGCCTTGAGACTTACAAAAAGGCTGTAATAATGAAACAAGTAACATAATATGCAATTCATTGTTCTGCTAACAGAATCTCATGAGATGTTTAGAAAATTACATATGCTTTCTCAAGCAAACATAAGTGCTTTGGGAAGGAGAAGTCTTCGCTGTCTTATAGCACATTGATTACAGTACCAATAGGACTGATGGTCTCGAAGATTACCTATCAGTTAGGACTATTTGTTTTCCCTTTTGGATGACCCGAAACACCTAGAAAAAGAGAGTTGAAGTTACCTTGCTGAAAAGTATGGACATGAAGAAGAGATCTAGCAGCATGGTCTCAGTAAAACTTTTGTAATCAAAAGTAAAGAAGAGCACTGTGAAAATAACAGTGACGTACTGGCATGTTGGGCTACTGAATGATGAACGCAGTAACTTCAAGCCAGCTATTGTGATCATTAAAGCACCCAACCTGTATAAGAAATTAACACAAAATAGTTACTTATTTGCTGTCCGAAAGGGGTTTGAAGACCACCTAAGCTGTTGCTGTCATGCAATGCCAATCTCTTAGAACTCAAGGTTTAGATGTGAGTTTACTTTTGAAGTCTGGAGTTGGGGGGTGGTGGTTTGGTTTGCTGTTTTCTTTAAAGACAACTTCATTTTAATTTTCTTTTTACAGGTTGCTATCCATCTTTATCAGTATTCTCAAGCCAATCAATGTTCAACGATTAGCATTACTTGTAAGAGTCATGCTAAAAGAAAAAAAATTAAAAATCAGAGGTGGAATATCTTTGTACTCTGAAAAGAAACCTGGTCTTTAATTTAGGTTATGAATATTGAGATGTATAAATGCTAGAAGTGCTCTAGATTAATCAGCAAGAAGATGTTAACAAACACTGGATTATCATCATTTCCTGAATGACTATACTGTTCTAGCTTATATAGGGGGAACTGCAACTTAGTGAAAAGCTTAGTGATACTCTTTTTCAGAGATGGTAACTGACAGATCAAAGGGTTATAAAAATATGTTGAAGTAATGTAGTAGCAATATTCCTCCCAAAGGTCTTGTACAAGAGTAACAAGTCCAAAGCAGGAACTTACTAGATCCAGGGACTATTAAACTTTAAAAAAATCAAAGCCACATCCAAAAAGTCCAACATCTCCCCCCACCAAATACATATTCCATTTTATTTCAAGATTTCTCTACAACACTTCTATTCTAAATCAATAGAAATTCAAATCCAAAAAAGCCAACTGGTCACTGTTCTTGGAGGCAAAAAAATGCAGGGCCTATTAGTGAACTCTCATTTGCTGAGCCAGTCAGATACACTGCTCAAGGGATTATAACTAGGGCTCAACTTAAGAGGCAGTGTGCAACTCCAGCTGGATACAGTTTATAGGTAAGGGCTGGGAGGCCCGGGGAATTCCTTGATGAGAGCAGAAAGCTGTAGATGGGCTGCAAGTGGGCACATCAAACTCAGGGAACATTACGATAGTCTTAAGTTCACACCTGACAAAATACCAGAATGTACTGTCACTATCTTGAACTTACAGTCCAGATAATCGTATTATAGACTCTGAAGTTCAACAAGGAAATTCTGATACCACACTACTAGGTAATTCTGCAACCTGTAATCTTTATAGTAAATGCTATGAATTGAATTATTTATCTTTGTGTCGGTTCTTAGTTTAACACTGCAATACTACATTCAGTTTAAGTCAGTAAGGTGACTTGGCCCTATAAGAGCTTTCAAATAAAGAAAAACTTTATTTATTCCTTGCCTCTGTTTTAAGGCAATAGCATTAACTGTCTTCCCATTGAGACCAGAACTTACTATTTAATTTCCCACCACAGTAGACATACTCAGATTACTTTATAGCCTTTTCTACTTACTCAGTATCCAGTTTCTTTGGACTAGCAATATTCTTAGCGCTGCTACTAAGCTCATTGAGGACTATCAGTGGATAGATAACATTCTTCTCTACAAAAAGGAGCCAAATGTGAAGCTTCTCAAACCACATAACATGTGCAGCATCTATTAAGATATATTAAAAAGAAGAAGTCAGATTATACTGCCAAATCAAACTCTGCTAATAGAATAAAAATTCTTGATCCAAGTAATTTGTGAAGCCAAACACTAACTGTATTCTCATACTGGACTTTCACAGTTTTATCTAACTGAAATAGAAATAAAGAAAAGCTCCTTCTAAGATACTGTTGGTAGCCCCAGTAGTTTTTGCACTGTTACATACCTGTATGAAACGTATTACAGTTTGCAAGCTACTTGCTTACTACACATGGCAGGAAACAAGCTGAGTTGCCACCTCTTCAATAATTTCAACATTAACACTGATTAAGCTGTTTGACATTAGGCATTTTATCTCACGCAAAAGGATGTTTTCCAACCATATTTGAACCAAAAGATTTCTGGTTTACGAATCTACAGTGTAGAAGAACACATGTAACCTACCAACACAAATGTATGAGGCTTAAGAACTTTTTAAACTTCTACAATAATTGCAACATATATGACAGGACTGCCGTGTTTCAAATTAATGCAAATGAAGACAATAAGAACATTTATTTTACAAGTCAGTATAAATAGAGGCCGGAAGAACCTATGTCAAAATTTATGCTAAACATTACTGCATACATCAAGGATTAAAGGTATACTTGAAAGCTTACTATCTTGAAGAAATACTTAGTGAAATACATGCTACCTTTATAAAAAATTATTAAGGCAATCATTAGGACAAGCTGAGAAACTTAAGATTTTGAAGACTGCACTTTAATGGAACTGCTCCAAGATAATGTTAGCACATGTAATATATTCTCATCATCAGTTAAGAGATACATAAAATGTCACGGAATGAAAATGTCATGGAATGAAAGCATGAAAGCATAAGGAACTGAGAAACTAAGACATTTCTGGATTAGATGTCATTAAATACTCCAGTGGTGGAAAAATAAAGAAAAGAAATTAAGTGCATCAATAGGTAACACTAGTTAGTCAAGCAACTACAGCAAGTTCAAAAAGGTGTAATGAATGATACTTACTTCGGACTTCAAACTGATAGTATTCCTTGGTTTTCAGCAGCGGGTGAGAAAAGCAATGCCAAGGAAGTTGCTTTCGGAGTTGAGGAAGAACATAATGGGTCACAAAGCCTACTGTACCCACCAATGCATAGAGAACATAACTTAAAATAGGCTAAAAAGAAGAATTGAAGAAATTAAGGTTTGTGTTTTTAAACAGAACCATACACTAAGAATGTAGTATCTTTTCCAGCATCTAGGTAGGTGCTCCTGCAATAGTAAGTTGGGAATGTATTTCTTCATGAGAAGCTGTACTACCAACTTTCAGATCAAACAATAAATGCCTGTGAGAGAATAAGCTTTCTAACAAGTTTTCACTGAGTTTAGAAGTATTTTAAAGTAAAAATTGTACACCAACCTTCCTTCCTAGTCCTTACTTCTGACCCATCTGCATTTTATTTTATAAATGATAAAGCTATTATCCTTGAAATGCTGAAACTAATTTACATTTTCATCTTGCTAGATAAAAGGAGGCATAAGCATAAGGAAAAACAAATCATTAATCTTATATTCTCTTGATTAGAAGGTAAATAAGAAGCCTCCCACCAAGACCAAACCATTTCAGAGAAGTCACAAAATACTACTGCATTAACATGGTATGAAGACTTGTTTTTCACAGTACCGCTTTCTGTACATTAAAGTTTTATCTAAATTAGGATTGCAATACCTTGGTATAAGCCCTTGATTCAGAAATTCTGTGAAGTCTAAGCCTATTGAAGTATACAACAGGTGAAGAACATATAGACAAGTTTCACAAACATGGGAAAGCAACTTTTGGGAGGACTGCTGAAGCCATACAACAGAAGAGAGATTTTCCTTAGAAAAAACTAGTACACCTTCTTAAGTAGGACACTTCACCTGAAAACCTGAAGCTACCTAAATCCATATGCTTTTTGAAATTAGTTTCCTAATTTAACTGTAGGTAGCAGCAGGAGAGTAAAATCCTTCTAAAATAAATGCAAGAAACTTTCATTTGCATGACATAAGGCTGTTCATAAGCTAACCAACAGTTCCATTACCAGAATATCAAAGTCAGAAATTTAGTAACTGCAAATCTTTAGGTAAATGCCTTTCCTTAAACAAATTCAAGCAAGGGTTTTGATGACATATCACAGAATGGGTTGGGTTAGAAGGGACCTTAAAAATCATCTA